CTGATGAGTAGTCCACACTGGTCACATCAGGGAAGCCCCCAAGGAATAGTTCGTAGCTCAGGGCACTGTTTCCACAGCCTGGGGTGAGAAGGGGGGGGTGGATGACAAAAGGTCTAGGTTAGCTTTGGTTCTCACCTCCCCAATTATCCATCCACTCTTGGCCTGTTTTCTCTCAGCTCAAACCCTCCCGTACTGAGGGAGAAGCAGCTTGGTACAAGAGCATGAGCCTTAGAGTCATACAGATCTGGGCACATATCCTGGCTCTATCATTCCTGGCTGTGTGGACTAAAGCAAGTTGTTTACATACTAGGAACTTGGATTTTCTAGTCAGAAAAATGAAGATAACAATACCTAGCCTACATGTAGGATGTGATGTTCTAAATTTAAAAACTAAACAGCTGAAGAGTAGGAGCTTTGAACTTAGGAGTTCAAAGATTTGGGTTCTGATATCTCTAGTCATACAGCCATGGCAAGTCATTCAACTCAGCCTCAGTTTCCTCAGGCTCAGAATGGGGATAATATTGGCATCATAATATTATTAATAGGATAATGCTGGTATTATCCTAATTCCTAACCTCTCAGAGATCCTCTGATGATATCAGTCCTGGGAAGACTTCATGTTAGGGGTTTTTATCTTACTTTGCTTTCCAAGGCAGAATTAACAAGTGAAGGGGAAACTAAGTGGGGACACACAGTGGAGATGATTCCTTGTAATTTCTTCATGTATGACTGAGTGCCACATATTGGGTTCTGCTGATGAATAAAGAGCTTCTGCCCTCAAGGAGCTGATGCTCTGGTGAGAGGAATAGATGTGTAGCCAGAAAACTGCCGCATAATGCAATGAGAGTTTCAATAGGGACAGACTGCAGGAGCACATAGGAGAGTCCCTGTCCCCACCTTAGATGGGTGGGCCAACAGGGTCGGGGGAACTGACAACCAGTCAGAGTCTTAAAGAATCATAACACTCTGGTGGGAAGTGCCCGGAAAGCAGTCCCAAAGTGGTGGAGGGTGGAGGTTAGAGGAGTGGATGTGGACCTACTGCCCAGTGGGCATGGCTTCCTTCAAAGATCTGCTGGCCTCTTCCAGGCCCTCTTGTGGTCAGTATCAGCCCAAGAACAGGCCTGGATGACAGTTCTTGGTGGCCTCACATGGGGATCCCCAGCTCTTGGGATTAGATTGCCTTTAATCCCCATTTGCCTCCCTAAGAGGATCACAGAATCAGCTGTTGGGATAGCCCTAATCCAGCAGGCAGAGCTTGGCACCTGGACAGGTGCCAGAGACTGCTGGCTGGTCCCCAGCTGCCCCTTCTTGTGTTCCTCCTCAGGCTCTGGGGCTCAGGAAGAGTACAATCTTACCTGGGAAAACCCAATGTGTGCGTCCCAACACTGGAACCACAACAGGCTCTGGGACGGGAGGTGAAGGTGGCTGAATAGGAGACTCTAACCCAGTTCAGCCTGAAATCCCACTGGGTTCTCTGACCACAATGCCTTCATCACCCAATACCTGACCTCATATGCCTGCAAAGCTCTGCCTAACTGTGGACATTTCCTTCCTTCGTTTCCTTTGGTACAGGAATGGTATCTCCCAAAACAACTTTATTAAAGATGAATGGAAAATAAAACTTGACCACAGGGCCAGTTACGCCTACAAAGCAGTGATTTGGGGCTAACAAAGATGAGGCTTGGAACCGCCACTGCTTCCCTAGGTGGGGCCTTAGGGAAGCAGAGCTCTGGAGAATTGAGCCAGATCCAAGAACCCATCATATGGGAGCCCAGAGCTATGTGGATGCTACCCCAACACCAAGAGACTGAAGTGTAAACCAGAATATCAATTCGCTTATGTATAATAGGAAAAAATAGCCATCATGGGGTCTGGACAGTCAATCCTCCGGTCAGTCCCTTGTGTCTCTATAGGAAATACAAATTGAAGCCAAATTATAATCAGAAGATTCTACAGAGCATGGAGTCAAGCAAGAAGAGAGAATCAGAGAAGTATAATGACAGCAAAACTGGGACGGCCACATGAACTCATCTGTAATGAGGAATCTAGCCATAGGGACCAGACACACAAGTCTTCAGGCAAGGTACTCTTTCTCCGAGCAGTCCTGGAGAAAGTGCCTCTCTGACTCCCATTTTCAATAATAATAATGATAGCTAACAGTTTTTGAACACTAGGTCCCATGCTAAGTACTTTATAAGGATTATCTCAGTTTATTTTCCCAGTAGCTCCATACCGAAGATTCTATTGTAACAACCATCACCATTTTCTAGTTGTGACACCAACTGTATAGCCTGAAAGGCCTAGAATATTTACTATTTGGCCATTTTTCAGAAAAAGTTTACTGAACCCTAAACTAAAGTAGTTCTCATTATATTTATCACTAACCTCTAGGGGTTGCCATGAGGATTAAATAAGTTAGGGCTCACCACATTCCCTAGCACCTACCAGGTGTTCAATTTGTTTGTTTAGGTGGAATGTAACATAAGGTAGCCACCAAGCTGTGGGTCCTGTTCTTAGATCTTGGGAATCCTGTCTGGAAAGTTTTTCTTTTTGATTTTTAGACTTTTCCCTCCTCTATCCAGAAAAGGATATCTCCCAATCGGGCAGAACTTAAGGCAGTGTTACTCTGCCAATTACCAGCATGAGAATCAGCCTGTGGGCTTGTTGAAAATACAGACCCCGGGACCCACCTTAGACCATCCCTGGAATTATATACTCAGAGTGGGGTCCAGTTTTCCAGGTTATTACACTAAAGCTTGAAAAACATAGATCTATAGTAAATCTATAAATAAATGCGATGGTTTAAAGCCACAAAACTCAAGAGAGGTTTTACCTCTGGGGGGAAGAGGTTTGGGGTACCACACAGAAAACCTTGGATTTACAAGGCTTTTTATTTTGTCAGGGTTTTTCTAGTTATCTTTCATACTCACTCAATCATCTTAAAAACCTGATAAATAAGTATGTACTCTTACTTTTTTTTTTAAGGCTGAGAAAATGGAGGCACAGAAATTTAAGTATTTTGCCCATGATTCCACAGCTAAGATGACATGTGCTGAGATCCCTACATAATTAGCTGCCTCCAGGGTTCAAGTTCTTAAGCACTTTCTAGTCCTAGGAATGCTGTATTTCTCAAACCGAGTAGGGTATACACACACATTCGAGTTATTATTTATACCTTACATATATACTGTATTATAAATGTCTCATATATGTGAAATATTTCACTTAATACATGGTTTTAAAAATAGCAAAATAAAAACTATAATTGGAAGGAAATCCGTTGTTTAATCAAACTTCACTGGAGCCCCCAAGGCTGGCAGTGGAAGAGAACCCCAAGGGGTGCAGGTGGACCTCTCAGAGCCCCACCTGAAACCCCAGTACTTATTCCTTTTGGGGAGTCACACCAATCTCGGCTGCAATCTCCCCTCAGAGGGAGCTGTCCTCATCCTCACTGCACACGGTGGGATGGGGGTGGGGTGGGGGGGTGGGGACGACGACGACATAGGACCAAGTTTCAGTTAGAGCTTGGAGAGTCAAGAGATAACTCTCTAGGCGACAATGGCTCATGGTGCCCAGTGAAGCCCACAGAAAAGCGCTAGGCATTGCGCTCGAGGTGCCTGCACGTGCCTTATCCGACTTGATTTCGCAGTCCCATTTCTAGAAGCGAATCCGGGGCTCAAACAGGTTCATGATTTGTCCTAAGTCCTACAGTCAACTAGCGCTGGGACTTGAACTAGTTACTGTGAACTCTCCAGTGCTCGAGGCTGCCTCCCCAGGGTCCGGAAAGGGGTCATGGGTCACCTACCACACTCAGACTCAGAGAGACTGTCTTTCTCCTGGGGGTCCCCGGACTAAGAATCTCTTGGCTCCTGTTTGCCCTGGCTAAATACTGCCGAGATTCTAAAGGTACTGGATCCTGACTTCTGACTGGGGAGTCCCCTGAGAGGAGCAGGCAGGAGCGAGGGGCGGGGCCAGTCCAACCAGCTCCACCTGGGCTGGGCAGCCCCGGGACTACCCACCTAGCACGAGGATACGGTCCTCCGGCCTCAGCTCCGGCTCTAGGAGGTCACGGAAGGAAGAGAAGTCCCCGAACCACTCGTAGGGAGCAGAGTCGGCAGCGTCCCGGTAGCGCTGGTCCCAGTACTGGACCTCGCGGTACCCACAGTTCTTCTCTGGTAACTCCGGTAGCGGGGCCCAGGCCCCAGGACAGGCCATGATTGCGGCTGCCGGGCCTTGAAGGCAACTGGCCCCCACGTCTGGGCGGGGCTTGGCCCCTTATGTAGCCAATTGGAATGGCTGCATATAGGAGGCGGGGCCTTTGTGTCTCCGCCCAGCACCAGCAGTTGCTCAACATAAACACGTGGAACTTCCGTCCTCTGCTAAGCGCTCTTGGAAGAATCCTCCGGGTGGGAAAATAATATTGTCCAGACCCTGAATCCTCTGGATGCGCTGCTCACTAACTTCTGAGAGCCACACTCATGGTGTCAGACTCACTCCGGCTCGTCATTGCCCCTCTCATATCTTCAGTTTGGCTCCTTCCATTAAGAAGTCTGAAAATTAATGAAGCATTAATTTCTTCCTAGTTTTGAGCACCCGAAAGGCTCTGGGGGGTGGCGGGAGTAGCGCGGACAGAGGTCTTGCTCTCCAGGAAAGACTGGCATGAACGCAGATATTACCAACATAGGCGAAGTGTAATGCTACGCAGGGGAGGTGCGGAGGGGCGGGGGAGACATGGCGTGGGCAGGAATGTTACTTTTCTGGGCAAACGTTCGATCCACATTAGCTCCTGTGTGCCCAGGGCTAAGTATGTACTGAGGAGTAAGACTATTCCTGCTCGTATGGAGCATGCAATCCATCAGGGGAGACATGTGGAAGAAGTAGATTTTAGTGGAGTAAATAAGGACTCCGGCAACTCCAGTCAGCTCTCGGTCCGTTGGGGCACGCGGCGCGGGAAGCGGAACCTAAGTACCAAAGGGTCGGGCTTCCGGCGTAGCGGGCCCGCAAGTGCGGCGCACCTTCAAGATGGCGGCAGGCCTGAGGAAACGCGGCCGGGCAGGTCCCGCAGCTCGGGCGGTGGGACTGTGCGGGCAGTGGCTGCGGCGCGCCTGGCAAGAGCGGCGCCTACTGCTGCTGGAACCGCGCTACACGCTGAAGGTGGCCGCCTGCCTCTGCCTGGCGGAGGTGGGCATCACCTTCTGGGTCATTCACAGGGTGGCATGTGAGTGCGCCGAGGGGGAGAGGAGGGTGGGAAGGGGGACCGAACCCCCGACCAAAACTGGGACCCACATTCGGAGCTCAGACTTAGACCCCTGATCCACTCACTCATCAGTTGCAGACTCGTATCTTTTACCCAAATCCCAAGCCTGCTCCGCGGAGAGCCAAACCCGATCTTAATCTCTCCCAGAAAACCTGGGTCCAAGTTAATGGCTGCTGCTGCTGCTTGTCTCTGTGGCTTTGGACACGTCACTTCCCTTTCTGGGTCTCAATCTTCTCATCTGTTCAATTCTGAGGTCTGGAAGTCTCTTCTCAGTGATAGCATTTTGTGACCGTTTGAGTCTGGCATTATTGGTGATTCCTCTCCAGGCTGAAAACACTGGACTTAAGGCTTACTTGCTAAAGACCATTAATTCAATACATATTTATTGAGTGCTTATTATATGGCTCACATTATGCTAGGTACCACAGGTATAGTGGTGAAAAAGATAGACACATTTCCTACTTACGTGTGTGGGCCTGGACAAAGATAACAGAAAATTACAACACATCATATTCATCATGATGGTAGTAGACAGGGTGCTATAAAGGACATAGGAGGGCACTTAATGCAGACTTGAGAAGTCAGAGGAGGCTTCCAAGAGAGTCCTCCTCGAAAGATAAAAGCTAGTTCCTTGAGGAAAGAGACAAAAGGGGTGGGGTGGGGGGGAAGAGTACTCTAGGCAGAGAGAATCCTGTATCAAAGAGCTCCTGTCAAAAGAGAAAGTCTATTTCCTTTGAGGAACTGAAAGAATTTTTTTAGAGCTGGAACACAGAAATCAAGTGAGGGTAGTACTAAGAGATGAGATTGCAGAAGTCGAGACAAGATCATGAAGGAATCTGTAAGCTGTGTTAAGGAGATAGTTAGCATGGTGGTTAAGAATTTAGAGCTCCATGTGTTCCAAGCTCAACTCCACCCTTCCTAGCTCAGTGTTCTTGAGCTAGTCACTTAACCTTATTAATTCATAATTTCATCTTCTAAAAATGGGAAGAATAGAATTTGGTCTTTATCTTAAGAGCCTTGGGGAATCATTGAAGAGTTTTAAGCAGAGAAATGTGATATGATTTCTATTATAGGATGAGCTCTCCGGTTGCAGGGTGGAAAATATATTGTAGTGGGGTGAAAGTGGAAGCTGGAAGCCTAGTTAGGGAGATCTTGCACCACTGTGGCTAGAGATTATGTTAGGCCCAAATTTGAGTGCATGATAGCAGAGAAGGATGAGATAGTAGAGATATTTAGGATAAAGAATAGGCAGGGGGCTTCCCTGATAGCACAGTGGTTGAGAGTCCGCCTGCCGATGCAGGGGACACGGGTTCATGCCCCAGTCCGGGAAGATCCCATATGCTGCAGAGAGGCTAGGCCCGTGAGCCATGGCCGCTGAGCCTGTGCGTCACGGGAGAGGCCACAACAGTGAGAGGCCTGCGTACTGCAAAAAAAAAAAAAAAAAAAAAAAATAGGCAGGACTTGGTGACTGGGGGTTGGAAATGAAAGAGAAGGAAGTATCAAAGGTGTTTCCCAGGTCTGTGACTTGAGCAGCTGAGAGGTTAATGGTACCATTCATGGAACCCAGGAAGGGGAGCAGATTTGGAGTGGAAGGGTATGAGTTCCATTACAGACATATTTGAGTTTGAGATACCTGGGTTCACCCAGAGAATGTCAGATAGGCCTTTAGAGAAGGGGTTATGATAGGAGTCCCGAGGATGAGCCGGAACTCTGTGCTTTGATGGGCTGAGGCAGAGAAATTCTGAACCTGGAAGTAACCACACCATCCTGTCATTTTCCAGATACAGAGATTGATTGGAAAGCCTACATGGCTGAGGTGGAGGGTGTCATCAATGGCACCTATGACTATACTCAACTGCGGGGTGACACTGGACCTCTTGTGTGAGTGGGGATAGGCTGTTCAGTGAGGTTGGGAGGGGCTGACTGGATGCCAGGCCGGATAGCTTGACCCAGACTCACGTTCTTTCTCCTCTTCCAGGTACCCAGCCGGCTTTGTGTACATCTTTATGGGGCTATACTATGCCACTGGCCGGGGCACTGACATCCGCATGGCCCAGCACATCTTCGCTGTGCTCTACCTGGCCACTTTGCTGCTTGTCTTCTTGATTTACCACCAGACCTGCAAGGTGAGTCCTCACTACCAGGAACAGGGGGCCCCAAACTGGGAGGGCTGGGGAGTGGGGATGGTTCAGGGCTGGTGAGCTGACCTTTTTCCCCACTGTGCCCACCTCTCAGGTACCTCCCTTCGTCTTTTTCTTCATGTGCTGTGCCTCTTACCGTGTCCACTCCATCTTTGTGCTGCGGCTCTTCAATGATCCAGTGGCCATGGTGCTGCTCTTCCTCAGTATCAACCTCCTGCTGGCCCAGCGCTGGAGCTGGGGCTGCTGCTGTTTCAGGTCAACACCCCCCACCTCTGGCCCCCTCTTTCATTTTCTGTATTCCATCACTTTCTCCCCAATTTTCTGCAGCAGAGGAAGTAAGGGAGTGGCCAGACAGTGTAGGTCAGTTAGGGCCATACTAGGTGAGTCCAGGATGTGTAGAAAGTCTTCACGCCCAGGTCCCCTACACACACACCCTCTTCCCATCCTGTTTCCTCCAGACAGCATCTGCTGTTGGAGTTGGTCATTGCACTTTCTAAATACTCAATATATATTTGCTCACTCAGTCTGAGTGTAGGGACAAGGTATGAGCACCCTGCTCCCAGCCTCCTCCCAGGCTTCCTTATCCTCCCTCCAGCAGTTCTGAGTGTGAGTGCTCACCCTCTGCCTGGAGCTTGCTGGCAGGGGAGGGGAGGAGTTGCTGTGGTGATGGTGGCTGCACGTCTTTGGGTGGGGTGCACGGCCCTGGAGCTGATCTCCACTCTCCTCTCCCCTATCCACTGCAGCCTGGCAGTCTCTGTGAAGATGAATGTGCTGCTCTTTGCGCCTGGGTTACTGTTCCTTCTCCTCACGCAATTTGGCCTCCGTGGGGCCCTCCCCAAGCTGGGCATCTGTGCTGTACTTCAGGTATTCCCTCCTTACCCTTTCCCCTTTCTAATGAAGTGGAGGCCGCTCTGTCTGGCCTCCTTTCATCCTTGAGACTTCCTCAAAGACAAGAGACAGAGTTTTGGAGTTGATTCTGATCTGGGCAGCCACCACCTCTAGGCTTTGGTTTCTTTAGCTGTCAAACAAGGGTGTTGAACTACATGGTCTCTGAGAGCCTTTCTAACTCTGCGCATTTATGACTTGGTGAATCCAAACTTAAAGCACTGTTATTACCTGCTTCTTTGGCCCAAGGCTCTTGTCTGGGTGGGTGGGCTGGCTTTCTTGCTGTTCCTAGTGGGAGTTAGGGAACCTCTGAGACCTATACCCTGTTCCCCCTCTTCTCAGTGATTAGCATGAGGCTGAGGGTGAGCCTGGGCAGCTCTGTTGACATCACACCCATCCTCAGGTGGTGCTGGGGCTACCCTTCCTGCTGGAGAACCCCGTTGGCTACGTATCCCGCTCCTTTGACCTTGGCCGCCAGTTTCTCTTCCTCTGGACAGTGAACTGGCGCTTCCTCCCCGAGGCCCTCTTCCTGCATCGTGCCTTCCACCTGGCACTTTTGACTGCCCACCTCACCCTGCTCTTGCTCTTTGCCCTCTGCAGGTGGCACAGGTGAGAAAGGGGAGCAATTTCATGAGCAGACATGGGGGAAGGAGTGAAGGGCCTAGGCCTTAGGGGCTGCATGGGGAGATGTTGAGCTCCGCTTGGCCCACATTGGGGGCTTGATAAGTATCTCAATGGCTTCTCCCCAGGACAGGGGAAAGTATCCTGTCACTGCTGAAGGATCCCTCCAAAAGGAAGGTTCCACTCCAGCCCCTCACACCCAACCATATCCTTTAAATCATGAGAAGGTAAGTCTTGCCCTCTCCAGCTGAAGTTGGGGTCCTGGTCAACTAGCCCTGCATGGCTGGTGACCTGGGAGAGGGAAAAGGAGGTAGCAGTAATAGCTACAGGGCCCATTCATAGAGCTCTTACCAATACTGTGCTGAGCACTTTACATATTTAAGCATTTTTTATTCTTTATTCTAAATATTATTGAGTTACCATTATGAGTGCTCACTCTCTGCCTGGTGCTGTCCTAAGAGGTTTACATACATTCTAACATTTAAAGCTCACAAGAGACTCTATTTTATCCTCATTTTACAGATTTTAAAGATGGGAAAATTAGGTCTTTAAGAAGTTAAGTAATTTGCCAAGGTCACATAGCTAGTAAGTGGCGACTCGTTAGGCGTTAGGGCTCTAGATAGTACTGCCTCCACATCAGACTGAGGAATAGGTCCAGAGAGGTTAAGCAACTTGCCCAAAGGTATGCATGTAGGAACAGCAGAGCCAAGGGATTATCTGACCCCAAAACTTTTGTCCCTCTGCTTTGAAACCTGCCCACCCCTTCTGCTCCTGCCCTTGGCCTTGACCACTGCATACAGATTGTTTCTGCCCTCTTCACCTCCAACTTCATTGGCATCTGCTTCAGCCGCTCCCTTCACTACCAGTTCTACGTCTGGTATTTCCACACACTGCCCTACCTCCTGTGGGCCACGCCTGCACGCTGGCTCACACACCTGCTCAGGTACCAGCTGGGACAACCTGGGGGCGTGGGAAGGGGTCGGGAGCTCCTCATCCCAAGACTGTGACCACGGAGGGGCAGGGGGTGAGCTGAAGTGCTGCAGGCCTAGAACCTGGATGGACCTGGAGCTTATTTCTCATCTCCAGGTTGCTGGTGCTGGGGCTCATTGAGCTCTCCTGGAACACATACCCATCCACGTCCTGCAGCTCTGGTGCCCTGCACATGTGCCATGCTGTCATCCTGCTGCAGCTCTGGCTGGGCCCTCAGCCTTTCCCCAAGACCATCCAGCACAGCAAGAAAGCCCACTGAGATCCATCTCTTCCCCTCCAGTCTATTCTCAGGACCCTGGATGGGGATGGACTGTGTGCCCTTCCCAATAAACTTTACGAAGTCCACTTCTGTGCAGCCTACATGGAGGTGCCTGGACCAAGCTGTGAGGGACAGGCACGCGGCATATAAAGAACTCATTCAGACAGTCCTAAGAGGCACTTTATTGCGTAGGATTTAGGGACTGTGGCTCTCTCCCCTTCTACTGCACTGCACAGAGCTCAGAGGGGAAGGGGCATGGGGCGGAAGGAGCAGGAGAGAGCACAGGCAGGCACTTTCTGTGGGGCAAGAGGATTTTGTGAAGGGAATGAGAAGCAGTAGGGGCGGACTGTCACCAGCCCACCCCTTCCCAGCACCAAGAGGCCGGCTCTGGGTGGCAGTGACTTGAGTTTGTTGGGGGGTGCCAGCCAGAGCAACCGGTGACCCTCACATGTTTGCTGGGCTGTAGCACAGCAGGTGCAGCTGCAGGTTCTGGTCCCAGTGGCGCAGCAGCAGGAAGAGACCCCGGGCTGCGGCCTTGAGGTTGGCCAGGTCGAGGCCGTCGGGCAGGTGCTGGGCCCGCAGCCAACAGTCCGCCTTAGCTGCCGCCAGTTCCCACTCGCCGAAGGCTGCGGCACAGCGGTGCTCCAACCACGCAAGCGCCACAGCAGTGGCCCAAGTCCGGCCCCGCAGGTCAGCACCACCAGGCCCTTCCGCCCCCTCCGAGGCCTCGGTGTCTGAGCCCCGGCCACTGTCCACCTGGCCTGGACCCTCAGAGCCCGAGCTGGGGGACGGGCTGCAAGAGGCCGTGGCACTGTCACCCTGGCCAGCACCATGGCCTAGAAGTGCCCAGGGAGAGGAGGCCGAGGTGGGGCTGAGGCTGGTGCGATGCGCAGCGAAGGGCGAGGCGCGGCACAGGCGCTCCCGCGAGATGCGCACCGCTGCGCAGAAGGGTGCGTCTAGGCGGAAGGAGCCAGGTGCCTCCTGCAAGCGCACCTGAGGAGAGAGGAGGTGGGGGGAGAATCGAGCTGAGACAGCGCCCTGGCCCTGGCAGCGCCACCCTCCACCTCCCGAGTCCTCACCAAGGGCAGGTAGTCGTGGTTGCTGCCTTCACTGTTGCTGTCACTGGCTTGGCCCGTGTTGGGGCTGCAGAGTCTATGGCTGTCTGGGCCTCTGGCCTTCCGACGGCCCAGGCTGAGCCGAGAGGGAGGCTCGGGGGACAGACGATGAGGACCTCCGATGGGGGCTGGGCGGTCCCCCAAAGCAGAACTGGAGTTGCCAATTTGGTCCGGCTCCCAGCCGCCTGCCAGAGAGCCTCCCTTAAGTCCTGAACTGGAGCCATTCAGTGGTCGTCCCTAAGCCTGGTTGGTCCCTACCATTTACCCAAATTTGAGTGTTACCTTTAGAGTGGACGGCTGTGGGCAGAGGAGCTGCATCTAGATGACCTTGAGAGGCAGGAGGGGTGCCTGGGGGTTCGGCTGGCTCTGCAGGGGCACAGAAGACAGGGGTGAGGTATGTCTCGGAGGGTGGCCAGTGAGATGGGAAACCGCACCTGGGAGGTCACCTGGAAGGGACCTTACCTACCTGAGCTGTGCACCTGCAGGGCTGAAGGTAGGACCTCTCTGGTGGTAGCATCCACAGCTACAGGGCAGGTGAAGCAGGAAGGGGCAGAGCTGACCTTGCTTGTCTGAAGGGCTCGGAGCCAGGGCCTCCGGGCATGACCTGCAAAACCAAGGGGCCACATGTTGACTGGGAGGGGGGGTGTGCTCCTAGCACCCACTCTCTACAAAGGGCTTCACAGAAAAAAATCTCAGTGCTCCCATAGCTTCTCCCTCTGTACACATTTTTGGGTTTTTTTGGCTGTGCCTCCAGGCTTGCGGGATCTTAGTAGTTCCCCCACCAAGGATTGGACCTGGGCCCCAGCAGTGAAAGCACCAAGTCCTAACCACTGGACCGCCAGGGAATTCCCAGCCTTCTGTCCACTTTTGAACAGAGTGGAGTTCCTTCTCAGGGTCAGCTCAGACTCCTCAGCTTTGACAAGAAGTGGTTAGGCTGAACACTCAACCACATTGTACCAGGACTAGGCCCCCGGCCACCCACAAATTCAACATTCTGGATACAGCCCAGAGGAGGCATTGACTGTGGTACCTTTTCCATCCACTCATTTCAGCACTGCCCAACAGAACTTCCTGCGATGATGGAAATGTTCTACATCTGCATGATCCAGTATAGTAGCCACTAGTCCCATGTGACTATTAAGCATTTGAAGTGTGGCTAGTGCAACTGAAGAACTGACATTTTAACTTTATTTAATTTTAATAATCTTTCTAAATGACAGATTTGTTTTTATGTTATGGGCACTGTGAATCATTACAAGATGAAATTCCCTCTCTGTTGGCTGCTAGGAAGCTTGCCAGTTTGGGGTCCCATGCTTGCAAGGGTACAAAACCTCATGGTGTGCATCTTTGATATAATCTCATTCTCTGCTTCCTTTTATTATCCCTTTTTTCCTTATTGCCCTGTTTAATTTTTTTTTCTTAACAATGTGGGTGAGCCGCCTCAAATCACTTGTGAGCAAGGTGAGGTATAGCGAGTGATCCCACAGACCTATGCCTCTGCCACTCTCTGTCCCATACAGGCTCCTTGAGCCCTGACTGGGGCCACCAGCAACTCACCCCGGTCAGCCCTGGTCTCGCCCCATCCTCGGAGAGCCAGCTGCTCGTTGTCCCGGACCACGGAAGCCGCTGTCAGTCGATGGAGTGCTTGGTCCCAGGCATTTCCGCTTTCAGGGGGTGACGGAGGCAGTGAGCCAGCATCCCTAGGCCCCCACAGCATCTCCAGCCCAACGCCCACCTCCCAGCTCATAGGCTGCTCCCCGCACAGGGCCCGGATCACCACGTGGCAGCGCGGAGGCTGGGGAGGCAGTGGTATTGCTGGAGGGGCCAACTCCCCACTGGGGGGAACAGCCGTGAACAAGAAGGGTGGTTCCATCAACATGTCCCAGTCCATGGGGGCTGGGGAGAGCAGGTTTCCTGGGGAGAGACGATGGTAGGAGCAGGGGCAGTGGGGTGCCCTGGGCTCCACCTCCCCAAGGTCTACTTGGTGTCAGAACCCGGCTCCCTATAACCCTTACCTGAGTCATCCAGGCCCTGTCCCAGCAGCTGCCCTGGCTCAGGGCCTGGCCCATCTGGTGCTACACCCAGAGAGGGGTGCCAGAGATGGCCAGGGACTGAGTTCACCCGGCCTGGTGGGGATGAGAGGCTTCGGCCAGTTAGAGCTGCTCTGCGTTGATGGCCCAGCACCTCAGCACTCAAGGCCCCAGTCTGCATGTGTGAAGGTGGGGGGGGGGGGGCCCATGGGCAAGGAAAGCGGGGGCCCCTGGCACGAAGAAAACA